TATTGAAATCAGATTTAGGGAGCGTAAATGTAGTACTAGGACCCGAAACTGGTTGCTGACTTTGCATAAACAACGGAGCCCCGATGGTACTGGTAAAACCACTAGACAACGACACACTACCTCCCAGTGAAAGAGGAGGAGTAGCACTAGAAGCAGTAGAGAGAGGAGAAGGAGCAGCTGTGACTAGGGACTGTCCAAAAAGAGAAGGTTTGGTAGCTATAGGAGGTAAGAGAGAGGAAGCAGTAGAGAGAGACGACGAGGAGAGAAGAGATGAGCCAGTAGTGACATTTGTAGATATAAAAGAAGAAACAGATACGTTTTTATGAGATGAAGAAGTAGTTGTAGATTGAGTAGTAACTCCTAATGTAACTGACTGATTAGTGTTTGTATTATTAGTAGAAACTGATTGGGACTGAGACGAAATGCCACCAAATATATTCAGGCCCCCTCCTCCTAATTTCAAACCCCCTCCAGCAGCACCAGTTAAAAGCAACCCTCCTCCAAGCTTCATTCCACCTCCATCACCAAACTGAACAGGTTTCACACTCGAGTTTAAACTGGTCTGACTGGTTTTGGCGGTTGCTCCAGGTCGTGGAGCCTCACAAGCAGGACAAGAGTCTTTGCTGGGATCATTGTGGAGCATACAAGTGGGACACTCCCACTTTCCGCCAGGTTTCAAAAACCCTGTTCCACTTCCCTTGTTATCGGTACTGGTACCAGAGGATCTTTTAGCACCACAAGCAACACAAGTATCAGAATCTTTAGTATTACTGATCATACAGACTGGGCACTCCCAATTAGAAGTGGGCGGGGCTAGACTGCTGAGAGGCGTGACAGTAGATTTAGTGTTAGGAGTAACAAGTGTGGGCAGTTGTACGTTAGACAGTCCGCCACTTGATAACTTGAAGCCACTCCCACTAGATGACGCAATATTAGTACTGGTAGATGCAGAGGAAGGAGGTCCAGAGCTGCTAAAAATACGACCACTGGGAGCTAACATTACATTGGCCCCCTGAGGTAATTTTACTTCACCAGTCAAGTTACCTGTAGGAAGCTTTGACCCCCCAGAAGTACCGATTAGACTTCCCCCGGTAGGTAATTTCAGCCCCCCAGAAGTACTGGTTAGACTTCCCCCAGTGGGTAATTTCAGCCCCCCAGAAGTACTGGTTAAACTTCCCCCAGAGGGAAATTTCAGCCCCCCAGAGGGAGCGTCGGTTACTGAAGGAGTAGAGAAAGCAACAGCTTTCTTTTTAATGCCCAAGGGTTGAGACGTACCACATGCCATACACTTATTAGTATCACTTTTATTTGATACCCAACAAGAGTCACAGGACCAGTTGGACGTGGGAACAATAAGAGGAACATCCTTTAATGGCTTGAGAGGAGGAACAGATAATCCTTTGGTCTCCCCACCCACAAGAGAGGCAGTAGATGGTCCCATGACACTCTTTTGTTTCGCTTCTTTACGGATGTTTTCAATCTGGTACTCTGGTTTCTTGAGGGCATCCACGAGGCTCCCAGCAGGTTTTGATAAAGCAGGCGGAGCTGGTGGGACGGAAGAGGGCGGAGGGAGAGATACTGGCTGAGCTTTAAATGATAGAGAACCTAAAAATGAAAAGAAAATTAAATAAAATACTACACACAACACTAATGGCTACATGTACATAGCAATGTTTCTTTGCCAGAATTAAAAACGAGCCAATTTTTGAAGAAAAAAAGCAAAGGCTATAGCCTATTATTTTTTCCAAAAAATAGTCCCAAAATCACTCCAAATTTTTAATTTACTTTCCTGATACACAATGGTGTCCTTGTGTTACGTAAAAAGTAAAATAACGACATGTAAAATAGACTACCGTTACATGCAAGACAGCAATTGACAGTCAATTTCCGTCTCNTTATAAATTAGANANANANANAGAGAGAGAGAGAGAGAGAGAGAGAGAGAGAGAGAGAAGAAACAAATAACATAATACAGCCAAATATGGAAATGGTCAAGCCATCAACCCCGAGCAAACTACTCTTTGTATGCTCAGGGAACTCTTGTCGCTCTCCAATGGCCATGATAGTGGCAGAGAAAATGGAGGCAGACAGAGGAAAAATAATAGAATCCGACTCTGCTGCAGGGAATTTTAAAAATGGAAAATTTGTGGCATCACAGAGCCCAGCAGTAAATGCAATAAGAGCACTAGAAGCAGTGTACGGGCAAACCAGACTCAAAGAGTATACGCCAAAACCATTAAAAAAGGAAGATATAGAGAAAGCAGACAAGGTGATATTCCTGGGGGTAGAGTTCCGCAAGAACGCCGAGGACGCCAAGAAGCTGTTTGGAGATGCATTGGATGGTAAAGCAATGTACTATTGTACTTACGTGAACAAGCAAGACTCCAAGGACAAAGAGAGGCATGAGGTACCCGACCCTTTAGACGGCGATAACTGGCCCGAGTATTACGGTGAGGAAAAGCCAGGGTATAGGCAGTTCAGCAGTTATGCTAAAGTACTGAAAAGCATGATACAAGATTTCTATCCAGCACTGAGAGATGAATTATTTCAAGACGAATGAGGAACTGAAGAATGATTAATATAGTATTAGTATAGTTTAGTATATTATTAGTATATTAATATAGAATTAGTATAGTTTAGTATATTATTAGTATATTAATATAGTATTAGTATAGTTTAGTATATTATTAGTATATTAATATAGAATTAGTATAGTTTAGTATATTATTAGTATATTAATATAGTATTAGTATAGTTTAGTATATTATTAGTATATTAATATAGAATTAGTATAGTTTAGTATATTATTAGTATATTAATATAGTATTAGTATAGTTTAGTATATTATTAGTATATTAATATAGAATTAGTATAGTTTAGTATATTATTAGTATATTAATATAGAATTAGTATAGTTTAGTATATTATTAGTATATTAATATAGAATTAGTATAGTTTAGTATATTATTAGTATATTAATATAGTATTAGTATAGTTTAGTATATTATTAGTATATTAATATAGTATTAGTATAGTTTAGTATATTATTAGTATATTAATATAGAATTAGTATAGTTTAGTATATTATTAGTATATTAATATAGAATTAGTATAGTTTAGTATATTATTAGTATATTAATATAGAATTAGTATAGTTTAGTATATTATTAGTATATTAATATAGTATTAGTATAGTTTAGTATATTATTAGTATATTAATATAGAATTAGTATACATGTAGTTTGTAGATTAGTGTGGACTTGTATATTACATCTTTAGTAGAACAAATAATAACAAAAATCAGTTTTAAATTGAAATACACATATACATATACATGTACATCATATCCTACCTGATGCAGTAAGGGGTGGTCTGGTAGCCCCACTGGAGGTGGACCCCACTAGGACTGGGAGTGGATCACTGAACTGGAACAAGCTGCTGTTGATTGGAGATATAGGCGTGGCATGGGGGTGTGGCTCTGATCTCAAAGCCATCTCAGGAGAAGTGAAAGAATAAGAACTGGCCGTCGTCATTGAAGAGAAAGGAGAACGTGTCAACTAAAAAAAATTATACACAATAATGTAATTACACAAAAATTTGCTGACACCAATTGTAATAAACTAGTGTAATAATGATAACAGTGCATTAATTACTACCATATAGCAGGAAATTTTGGAGTGAATTAAATTTGGCGAATTTGGCCTCTTGATAGCCATTTGCCAAAATAAAATCCGCCATTTTTGAGCCATATTACATGCATGCATGCTCAATGGCACACCGCCTCTACTAATTTGCCAAATTAAAATTTGCCAATCATCAACAATAAAGTATATATATTTTTTAGCATAGAACAATAACGTTAGTCACTTAATGTACACATAACACATGTAAGTACATGTATGCTAGTATACATGTAAGTATATACATGTACATGTAAAATACTAACAACTAACATTGGAAGTGGTGGTTGGAACCTTAGGCTCTTCTTTAGTTAACGGAGTCAAGAACGGAATATCAATGGAAGGCAGTGGACCTGATTTATGTAACAGGAGTGGAATAGGAGGAGGTAGTTCGCTTGTATTATACACTTCCTCTCCCTCGCCATCTCTGCTCTTGGAGCTATAGTGCGTCGTATGCTTAGTAGCTCTTATTTTACCAGTAGAACTCTTAGAGGAGGAAGGGGGTGGAGTAGGGGGAGGGGCTTGAGTCTTTTTGACTTCTTTAGGAGAAATCGTTAGATCTATTACGACTTTCTCTTTTCCACGAGAAGGGGGAGGGGTTGGAGGCGAGGCTACAGCATGTACGACTGGTTGCCGTACTTTTGACAATTTTGCATGTGTGGGTGGAGCTGAGAGGGAGGAGACAGGAGGGGGAGGAGAGGTAGCAGAGGGACCTTCTATACGCTGCTTCTTAGCCGGCTAAGAGAAAAGAATAAAACAATAAATGTTAAGAACATGTATGTACATGTACATGTATTAATACTCTATAATGTAAAGATAATTAAGATATAGAAATTGTTGTACAGACATTGGCTCAGATAAGGCTGAAACTATACAATAATTAAAACAACATAATATCAATAATTGATTCAGACTCATATAATCATCATTGCCAATCACTACGCCAGCACAAACTGAAACTGAAACTACATGTACATTAGCTGTAGTTCCACCATGCCTAGTTGTAATTGACCAATCAAGACTGCTTGATAAAATAATGAAAATAACATATTACAAAATGAATGTACATGTACACATAGTACCAATCACTCACTGTTGCTCTTAGTGGGAGTTTCCTGGCGTCTTGTAGCGGAGTGCTGAGAGACTGGAGGGTGTCAAGGATCTTAAGGGCCGTGTGACTAGCCCCGCCCACTGGAAACTGTGAGGTGTGAGGGTGTGGCTTGACTGCTCGCTTCACGGGACCAACCTAAGAGAGAAAGAGAGAAAAAGAGAAAAGTTGAGATCATACAGTATACAGTGTATCATATAGAAAAAATAAACATTAAGTTACCTTTTGTTGCACAAAAATATAATAATAATACATGTACTGTACATGTACATTTTATTCTATGCCATATCATTCCAGTGACTCAGACAAGGCTGAAACATTTTTAATACAACAGAGTTGGTTCAGAAATAAAACACTAATAGTCATCACTGTCACTGGATAAGTACTAATGTGTGCAAATATGCCGAACTCTCTCCAGCTCCCTCTCTCTATTTCTTTACTTACTTGTACACTAGTTGGGCTGGTCTCATTCCTAGTTCTCTTTCTAAACAAAGGAGATGATGATGGTCTACCGGAGGAGGAGGCTCCACCATAGGACGTCCTACCAGTATAGAAGGAAGAAGTGAAGGGAGAGCGAGAGAGTGAGAGGTTAGTTAGAGCTGCAGTGTTGACTGGAGTATTGAATGCACTCAGTGAGAAGGAGGGGTGACCACGAGAAGGGACTGATGATATGGCTGACTATAAAAGATAAGAGAGAGAGGGGGGGAAATTAAGGAAATAAAATATGATACAAGGAAAGAAGATCTACAATACTATTACATGCAAGAAATGCATGTACATGTACATGCATTTGTTCCACTTTTTGAGCAACTTTAAAAACTCATAAAAAATCCTATTATAATCGGAATCAGTTCAAACTTTCTACACAACATAAAAACATGTATATGTATCAGAAAAAATTACAAAAATGGAGAATTCTCTACTTTTCAATTTTGGTGAAATTTGGCCCAAGATCATGTACTATAGTACAGGGACTTTGGCCCACTTTTTGAGCAACTTTAAAAATCCATAAAAAATCCAATTTTGATCAGAATGAGCTCAAACTTTCTACACAGCATAAGAACATGTATATGCATCAGGGAATGTTATAAAATGGAGAATTCTCTACTTTTGAATTTCGGTGAAATTTGGCCCGAGACCATGTACTATAGTACAGGGATTTTGGCCCGATTTTGGAGCAACTTTAAACATCTACATGTAGAGATAGACTAACTTTGGGTGTGGCATGTCCCACATCACTAGTCCTAAGAGGACCAGGAGACGGAGACACATAGGGACTTGACGCTGGAACATCCCTCTCCCTCTGTTTGATCCTTACCCCTCTATGAGGATAATGAGAACCATGACTGTAAGTAGTAGTAGGAGCACATGTAGTGGGAGGAGGAGGATCAAGACCGTTTTGAGCAATGTAAGGTAGAGGAACTGATGTATTGGCTAATGGAGTGTTACTACCACTCCTGGCACTGGATTCCTAATAAGGAAATAAAATAATAATAAATCATTTAATGTGTAATAGCATGTACTGTACATGTATGTGTAAAAATTGTGAATTCAAGTTGAAAATTACTAAAATTAGCACTTAGTTAATTATAAAAAGAATTAACAAAATTGAATCACCAATGCACTAATAATTAGCTATTTCATTTATTAGCTATTAGTCTTATTACATGTACTGTATAGCAGGAAATTTTGGAGGAAGTAAAATTGTGACCACATGCCATTGAGCATGTGTATAATGGCTCAAAATGGCAGGTTTTATTCTGGCGAATGGCTATCTAAATGCCAAAAATCGCCAAATTTAACTCCAGCCAAAATTTCCCGCTATACGGTATTTCATTATAATTTCTAAAATGTACATGTATTTTTCACCTCCATTCTTTCTTCTTTGTTAGATACTAGTACAGGCGATTCATTCTTCTTTATCTCTGCCGGTTCCTCGTTAAACTCATCAAATGAAGGCGGAGTCAGAGGGTGTGTCACTCCACGCACGTCCAACTGACGACCTTGAATAGGGTGGGGTGTGCCAGGCCAGGGGGTGTGGTCGGGGAGCGTCCGATTAGGTAAAGGACTGCTGACTTCCTTGGTCCACTTCGATGGAGTAAACCAATCTTTAACCGTCTGTACAAAACCCTAACAATAAAAAAATAAAAATAATTGTAATAATAAAGTAATACATGTACATGCATATAACACTTTACACTACAGTATCACCATCATCTTATTCCGTTACCATAAAAAGTTAAACCCCATTATCATAATACCCCATCAATTCATGTACATATACATCACATACAAACCATGTACACGTACAATAGTATATGTTTAAGTATTACTGGGCAAAGAGCCAACTAGTAAGCCACAATGTAGTTACCTTTGGTTTTGGTCGGTCATAAGGCGTGCTGGTGTGGTGTTTGGTGCTCCTCTGACTAGCTGACTTCATCTTTAGACCTATTGTAATACGGGATACCCCTCTCACTAGCACGCTAAAGAAGACAGCTCAACTTACAAATCAAGAGAGAGAAGGACCATGTGCAGGACAGACCGCCAATTTGAATTTTATAATTTCTTTTTAACTTCGGTTAATTAAAGGCTCACTTGTAAATGTTTAATTAAATAGTATACGGTTTAATTTTAATAAGAATTTTAAAACAATTCTTCACACATTATTATGAACAAAATTAACAAATTTAAAAATACTGATGCTCTTAACATGCATACAAATGATAAATAAATTATTGTGAAATAAACACACATTTATACAGAAGTTCACAATGTTAATTGTTACTGCTCAAGTTAGCTTTATTTCTTCATAAGCTGGATTGTTATTATTATTAATCATCAAGGTGTTAAACTGATATGCTTCATTATATGAAGTAACTACAGGCGCTTGTTGTTGAAATGAGACAGACCCTGTAATTAATACTTAAAATGAGCACACATCATATCATGAAAGCAGGATTTATCAGAGATGATGAAAATTTATAACTTTTTCCACTCACTACAAAATTAAAGTACTTACTGTTTTCTTTCTTCTTATAAGAAATAACAATGCACACAAGAATTAATATTATTAATAGTAGAATAATAATAATGGCACCCAAAACTGCTGGTGTAATAACTGTAAAAGAATATATTTTATATACTCTGTATTATTAGTCAATGTAACTGACTAGCAATAGCATTAAGACTTGTTGAAGCAGGTGTGCTAGTAGGTGACAGCAACTGTGTAGTAGGTGACAGCAACTGTGTAGTAGTAGTGATATCATTAGTTGGATAAGGGTGGAATGTATCTACATGCAATGTAATAATATACATGGACATGAAACTACTAACTGACCAAGAGGTATGACAAATGGTTTGCTACTACCAGCATTGTTGCTGAATACAACACTGAAGTTACACTGCTGATTTAAAGGCACTAGTGCTAATCCTGTAATATTACTAGGCTGATTAGTATACTTTAGCATGTACGAGTTTGAATATATGCTACCAGAGCCATTACACTGCACAGCAACTGTAGCACTATTAGGAGCTTCACCAGTACACATCAGCATACCCTAAAAATAAGAATTTTATTGATATCAACAATAAAATCTCACAAGTAAATGTATAGAAAACTTTATGATCAATTCTTGTGCAAATTCAAGTTCTACTGAAACAGTTGTTTCATTAGCTGACCTAGGAACTGCAGTAATATGAAATATAATTAGAATTTGATGAATATAACCACGTTACCTCTTTGATAAGAGAATGTAGCTCTAGTAGATATTCCTTCTCCTAATACATTGACTCCAGTTATAACGTATGCATAGCGATAAATAAACAAGTTATTATCCACAAACTGATAACTCGTATTATATACTGGTACACTCATCAATAACTGATCAATGACGTCATCATAAATGCTTAAATTATAATACTCTATTGATATTCCATTATCAACTGTAGGAGCTTTCCAAGTTATAGTAATACTGGTACAGTCAATTGAAGATGTAACGTTAGTAACTGGTCCTACAACACCTAATAAAATTTATGAAATGTTAGTAGTGTCAAGATAATAATTTTTTTACCAAATACAAAAGGAGGTGTAGGCAGGAACTCTCCTCCACTATTACTCAATGATACATTCACCATAAATGTGCTTAGATTATTTGGTATTGTTACTATTCCAGTGATCATCATGTCATCATTAACTTGAATTGTTGATATACTGGTACTGCTTATTATGGTATTGTTAGTAGTCATTATTGTAGCTGCTATATTGTTAGGATATTCTCCTTCACATATTGTACTAACCTATAGTGGTTATGAAAATATTATCATAGCTTGACAATGCATCAATTGTGTTAGTGTTTTTAAACTTACATCAATGGTAATATATAATAATACTAGTTGTCTCTCAACTACTGGTGTTACAGATATGGCAAAGTTACTGAAAGGAACTGAAAGATATACTGTAAACATGAATATAAAACCACAGTAATGCTAACCTCTTTCATAATAAAAACTGATACTATTTGGTGAACCTATCCCAACATCATTCATAGGAGAAACTGATGCATTATTAAAAACACAAGGATTAACGTCACTAGTTGATAATGTAATATTAGTATTATTAGTAGTGCTGCTTTCTAGTTCGTTGACAACTATATAGTATCCAGTGATAGGTACATTATCCAGTGTATAAGGAGCTGTCCATGTCAATAATACACTGGATCCATTAATAATGGTATAATTCAAATTACTGACATCATCTAGTGGACCTGAATAAAAAAGGAGATAATAATCTATTAAGTATCTACTAACCTTGAATCTACTAACCTTGAATCATTAATAACACAGTGTCACTGTGTTGCACTACTACTGGTGTAAAAGTAGTGGCTGCACAACTTATGTTAGTATTATTATTATGATCATAAGCTATTGCTTGTAATTCAGCTCTTCTAGTGCCACCATTATTAAATGTAGATATAGTGAATCCATTAGCTATCACAGTTTCATCAATTGCTGACTGATTATTGATTCGAAAGGTCACAATATCAGCAACAGCTTCACAGCAGAAAACAACAGTAGAGTTGAGTGTTGTATTAATGGACACTGGCTGCACTATTATATCTTTAATATGATATAATATTATGATAAATAATTTTGATTGATTTACTTACTAGCACAATCAAATGATTGAATGTATTGCAGAAGAAGGAGAAGAATTGGATTCAGCAGCATTTCTGACTATTAATTAGGGCGTGGCAGCCTTATGGCCTTATTGGCTATGATCAGATGCAGATCAGATCTGCAGATCTGATCTATATCTGAGCTGAGGAGGTTGGTCATGCGTCATGTGATGATGTCACTTCCTCTACCTACTCTCCTCTGATAAAAATGGAGTATTCTCTCTCTTTTCACTTTAGCAGCAGTTATCTCACTAATAATACCTGCAATTGAATCAAAAATGTCAGTGTATCTAGATAAAAGACTAATAAACATGATACAGTTTTCTTACTTTAATGCAGTACAATACTCTTAAGTTGTAACTGGTTTCAGACTTCTTCACCTATCACATTTTATAGACAACTAGGAGTCTGCATACACTTTAAAAACAAAGAGCAAGAGTAAGAATATAATCTGCACTTTATCTAAAGATGCAATATCTTTGCCTTTTCTAGAAAAGTGTGGTTTAGTCATTTGAGACAGAGGACAAGCTTTTGCTACCTGTAGCTGACTGAACAGAAGTTATCATGTTTATTAGTATTTTATCAAAATGCACTGATGTTTTTGAGTCAATTGCAAGTATTATTAGTGAGATAACTGCTGCTTAAGCGAAAATATAGAGAATACTCCATTTTTATGAAGGGAGAGTAGGTAGAGGAAGTGACATCATCACAGACGCATGACGTGCCAGCCTCCGGTTCCGATCTATAGATCTACAGTACAGCCGGCCCTTTGCACCAGTCTGATCACGTGACTTCATAAAAATAATAAGTTAAGCCGATGGCTAATCATCACGTGACTAGAACTGGTGGTGGCAAGTTTTGCAAAGGGCTGTACAGCCCTTTGCACAAAACTTGCACCAGTCTGATCACGTGACTTGATAAAAATATTAAGTCAAGCCTATGGCTAATCATCACGTGACTGTAACTGATGGTGGCAAGTTTTGTGCAAAGG